AATAACCTGAACTTGACTTTTCCATAATATAGAAGAGATGTTTTGAGTCCTTTCCAATCTGCTTGAGCTTCTATAATTTTTTTTCCTTGATTTTGGTGTAGAAGCTCTTGAATTCGTATAGCTGTGCAACCATAAATCAAATCACCATCGGTTGGCCACATCCCCACAACTTTGAGATACTTGTCATCATTCAATTGGCCAACGGTCGTGTTGTTTATGCATTTTCCTGCCATTATTCTATTGATTTTAGACAAGAAACTGGCACTCAGATTCTGCAAGAACTTGGGATTCGTATAGGATTATATTCTCTGAAAATCTCCAGCATCTTGATTTTGGCATATCATACCCGATTTTCCAGTGGGACTGATCTTTGAAACCGAACTTTATCCCTTAAGGTTGCACCTTACTGTGCATCAAAATGGGCGGTTGAAGGTTTGAGCAGAGCAGTGGCGAAGGAGGTACCTGAAGGAATGGCAGTGGTTGCACTTAACCCAGGTGTGATCAACACAGACATGCTTGCTTCGTGCTTCGGCAACTCAGCTTCCCTATACCAAGCACCAGATACCTGGTAAGCACACACCTCACCTCCTCAACTAATCAAAAGTTTTTTTTACCTTACTCGTGGATTTTCTATGGTTTCTTGTTGGCATGTATTGAAATAGCATTGGTCTACCAACCCTTTTGTTCATGTTCTGCATTTCCGTATAAATGCATTGCTCAACAGTTTTACTTTTAATTCAAGAAAATGTATGTGTTTGGTTCTTGAAATGATGAAAAATTGATAGATCACCAATATGTTCTCAGTCCCATCAATTACTCAAAACCCTGTTTGGGGCTTGTCAATGTGACAGGGCTGTTAAAGCTGCGACGATGATTCTGAACCTTACGGCAGCGGATAACGGTGCATCTCTGACGGTCTGAAGCTTTAACAATACATTTTATTTTTCAGTTCCTGATAAATCTTTTGGTTAGAAAATTTATTCTGTAGAGAGTTTGCAAACACCGGCACTGTTCCATGTCCAAATTTCCTGTTAAGGTTTAGAATATGAAACTCAACTTTCTAACACAAAATACTTTATTCCTCACCGAAACCTGAATACAATTTTGGATGATCTTGGTTTATGAGAGGATCTCATAATGGCGGT